ATGACTTTTTATGCCTTACTATAGTATGTCTTTTTTAATGACTTTTTATGCCTTACTATACTATGACTTTTTTATGACTTTTTATGCCATACTATACTATGACATCTATGACTTTTTATGACTTTTTATTTTTATGACTTTTTATGCCTTACTATACTATGACTTATTTTTATGACTTTTTATGTCTTACTATACTATGACTTTTTTATGACTTTTTATGCCATACTATACTATGACTTTTTATGACTTTTTATGAATTTGTATTTTTATGACTTTTCATGCCTTACTATACTATGACTTTTTTAATGACTTTTTATGCCTTACTATACTATGTCTTTTTTAATTAGTTTTTATGCCTAACTATACTATGTCGTTTTTATGACTTTTTATGACATACTATACTATGACATTTTCATTCATTCATTCATTTTCTACCGCTTATCCTCTAGTAGGGTCGCAGGGGGGCTGGAGCCTATCCCAGCATCCTTTCGGGCGAGAGGCGGGGGACACCCTGGACAGGTCGCCAGTCCATCGCAGGGCACACAGAGACAAACAACCATTCACTCTCACATTCATACCTATGGTCAATTTGGAGTAACCAATCAGCCTAGTCCCCATTTGCATGTCTTTGGACTGTGGGAGGAAGCCGGAGTACCCGGAGAGAACCCACACAAGCACGGGGAGAACATGCAAACTCCACACAGAAAGACCCCGCGTCCGAGCCGGGACTCGAACCCGGAACCTTCTTGCTGTGAGGCGCCAGCGCTAACATAATGTCATTTTTATGACTTTTTATTTCTTACTATACTATGTTGTTTTATGACTTTTTATGCCTTACTATACTATGACTTTTTTATGACTTTTTATGCCTTATAATACTGCCTTTTTTAATGATTTTTTAATGCCTTAATATACTATTTCATTTTTATGACTTTTTATGCCTTATTATACTATGTCGTTTTTATGACTTTTTATTTCTTACTATACTATGTTGTTTTATGACTTTTTATGCCTTACTATACTATGACTTTTTTATGACTTTTTATGCCTTATAATAGTATGTCTTTTTTAATGATTTTTTAATGCCTTAATATACTATGTCATTTTTATGACTTTTTATGCCTTATTATACTATGACTTTTTTATGACTTTTTATGCCTTATAATACTATGTCTTTTTCAATGATTTTTTAATGCCTCATTATAATATGACTTTTTTATGACTTTTTATGCCTTATAATACTATGTCTTTTTTAATGATTTTTTAATGCCTTAATATACTATGTCATTTTTATGACTTTTTATGCCTTATAATACTGTCTTTTTTAATAATTTTTTAATGCCTTACTATACTATGACTTTTTTATGACTTTTTATGCCTTATAATACTATGTCTTTTTTAATAATTTTTCAATGCTTTACTATACTATGTTGTTTTATGACTTTTTGTGCCTTACCATACTATGAAGTTTTTATGATTTTATTACCATAATATGACTATATTTTTACACCTCACTACTGTATGACATTTTTAAGCATTCGTATACTATGATGTTTTTTTATGCCTTACTAAACTATGACTTTTTATGCCTTAGTATACGATGAGTTTTTTTATTCCTTAGTATACTATACTATTTAAACCAACAGCAACAAACAACAAACAAACAAAAAATTATAATCAGCAGCAAAAAAATAAAAACGACCAGAATATAAAAAACAAATAAACTTGGATATATAAATGAAATATACTGTATATCATTAACATATATGGTCACAACACTTTATACAATGTAAAAATTCATCATATAAATATTTTTGATATATTTACAAATCCAAATTTTAGGTATTTTCTATATAACTTATACTTTCCTCTATCCTGAGGATATTTAATAATAATAATGTATCCTATCATAGGTAACATATATGGCAACACTACTATTGATATAAGGACATATATCATATATTACATTTTTGTATGCGTTTTTTCCTAATTAAACATAAATGTACTTTTACCTCACAGTGCTTTTATGAGAACAAAAGCTTTTAGATAACTATGGAACAGTGACAGTCCCTGCCCAGTGCAACTTGGCAGACAACCGAAATGAAAACTCAGACTTACAAAGAGACACCAGACATGTTGCTTTCTGCCCCCTTGTGGTCAAAACCTACTCAGTGGAGCTCAAAGATTGGATCCAGATATTAAATATGAAAACACAAACCACAGAATACAGAATGCAGAATGTCACAAACCAATATCAACTAGAGGATTGCACACTGGGATATAACATGTCATGATCTGCACTGGTATGTAATGTATGATATAACCAAAGCAACAATGCATAAGCTCAGCCTCTATCTACTGCATCTAAAGCCCAGATGATAGTATACAGAGGATTGGATGTCCACACAATAAGAGTGCTACCCACAAAACCACTTACTTTATTCATAGCTGACTCTGGTATGCATGAAGTGTGTTTGTGATGCTGAGCTGTGGTCAGATATATAGCAGTGTGAAACCATAGTGATCTGTGTTCTCTCACCCTCTCTGCCACAGACTTAAAACCCAAGTAGCAGAGTTCACCTGCAGATGGCTGCAACAGTGAACGGCCGGGCTCTGCTGAGTGACACTCATCTGCCCCCTGCAGGTGTAAAAGAGAGATTACTTCATTGTGGAATATGAGGGATTTAACAAACCCTTTTTTTTGTTCCCTTCTATGTTGTTTAAGAGACACCTTATAGACTGAAGTGGGAATAGAATATAGACAAAGAATAAAAATGATAGATTAGAAAGTAAAGCCTCCCTCCCTCTCCTGCTTGCGGTCTAGGATGTCTTGCAAGTGCTGTAATTCCTCACTTAAACCTTTCATTTCCTGTATATTTGCACCCTCCTCTCCTCTCTTCTCCTCTCTTCTCCTCTCCTCTCCTCTCCTCTCCTGCCAAAGCAAATGAAATACCAGACATTCTCTGCTCATTTTCAAACAGCATATGAATAGGTGTATTGATGCAAGTGTTACATGTACTTCAGTTCCCACAATTAGCCATATGAAAGCATCTCCTCTTGAAACCTCTTCCAAGACCATTCCTCGGAGTCTTTCCATGTCTCCGGACTTTTATGCTATTAGGTTCAATGAGAGCCTCACTGTTAGTCTGTCTCTCTGGAGCTTTCCTGACCTCTCCCTGACTGCCTGAGAGCCGCCAGCTAAGACTAGTAATGAGATATTAGCCCTGACAGTGGTGACTGGGGAGGGGTGGAAAGTGCTATTCCCTCAACGCTTCTCTTTTCTCTCTTCTCTCCAAGCCCTATCTGAAGATTTACCTCCCCTCACTCTCGCATGGAGCTGTAGCATCACTCCCCTTGTTCTTTCCTCCTTCTTTCTTGTTCTGCTCTGTCTTCCTCTCTTTCCCTCCCAGCCCGTCTCTCCTTCCTCCTCTGGTTTTCTGTGGGACTTCTTTCTCACACCGACTTTCTTTGCTATTATGTGTCTGCACATTGCAGCAGTGAGTGTGTGTGGGTGAGGGACTAAAGTGAAACTTCCACCTTGGCTCCACATGCCTACAGCTGGGATTTGGGTGCAGAGGAGGCTGTCTAAGATCAGTGTGGTGCATAGGAGACAAAATATGCTGTAGCAGAGCTGGGTCTGAGGCATTTAACAGACTGCATGAATATACAAGTACTTGTCCCCATGGATACATTCAACTTGAATTCTTGCTACTGCTGTTTTTTTTTTTTTAATAAAATCACATTGTGGAGTGAGCCAGTGTGAAACATTGGTATGTTAGACTTTATTCTGGTGTTATTAGGTGTGAGAAAGAAGTCCCACAGAAAACCAGAGGAGGAAGGAGAGACAGGTTGGGAGGGAAAGAGAGGAAGTCATAACATCAGAAAAGCATACAAACTGTTTCACATATCTTGATTAGAGACAAAAAAGACAATCTTAAGGAACATGTATCATGTATTCCCAGGGTTATCATTAAATCCACAATATATGCTAAAGCTCAAAAATATCCTGTATGTAAGGGCTTACGGAGACAGGCATGTACACAGTGAAGATGAAAGGGCCCAGACATTTTCTGTAAAAGGAGATACTTAAATAGAATATATATAATTCAATGCATCTCAAAGATCTGAATTTAATGAGTTGCAAAAACGGAGCTGTGTGTACGGTACTAAGTGAAAAATATTTAGAGATAATTTTAAGAAAGATATGAAAAAATTGGAGAAAAAAAAACATTAAAGCCATACAAACAGGTTATAGAAAAAATAGAAAAAGATCTGATGAAGCCTTCAGTGTAACTGTGGGTCCCACACATAAAAGCAAGAAGACACCCAGACTGAAAGAGACACAGTGTTATTTGTGGTCTTTCTGTGTCTCTTTGTAGTTGTTTTGCATTGCTTACTGGTCATTTTGCAACTCTTTGAAAGTCTTGTGTCTCTTTGTAGTTGTTTTGTGTCTCTTGTCAGTGACATTTCGCTCAGGTGCTGCTGCTGCTGCTGGTTGAAAATCTGCAGCTCAGCTTCAGTATTTAGCTCAAACTGGATTACTGGTTTAACAGATACTCACACAAGACTTTCTACTTTTAACTGAGCGCTCTGACTTTCCAGTAAGAAACAGTCACATCAAACAGGCGCTCTGGTCTATGAGCCCCCCTGGCTCTTTGGGCCCCTGGGCGTGCCCCGTAGGCCTTTTCAGTCATCCATCCATGAGTGTAACATTTACGATCATATCACAAACCTTCAGGGACCGGACTGTTTTAAAATGCTCAGCATGCTCTCCATTTTATTATCTCACAGCCGCTCACAACATACAGGATCTATAATGTGTGTTCCTGCGCTTCCTGGATTTAATGACTGCCTAAAAGCGGCCATCACAGCATCGCAGTGTTATAGACTCAGTTAAGTATTAATGAGTACATTACTACACTGTGAGCTCGAGACGGGATGTTTAGCTAGCCAAGGGCAAAACCTACCTTGTACAGACACACACACACACACACACACACACACACACACACACACACACACACACACACACACACACACACACACACACAGGACAGAATAATAAAGCTGAACAGATTGTGAATTTATGGGCAACATTTGAAGCCATAAACATATAAATATGCATTAATCCAAGCATGTGTGTGTGTTGTTCAGCATGTGCACTCGTGTGTGAAGGGAAAAAGAGAAGAGAGACATTATGTTGAACACACCACCGTACACAGATGTTCCTGTTAAAAGCTCTCTGGATGGGTGCAGCAGTAAAAATAAGTAATTACTCAATTCATACATTTACTGCTCATGCTAAACATATACAGCAATGAAACAGACTCTGAGTATCAGCTCTCTTATTAATTTGTTCCCAGCTTATTTTTTCATCCAGTAAATATATGGCTGCTGGAAATGTAAAAAAAAAAAAAAAAAAAGCCTCTCATAAATAACCTTTTCAGGTTTCTTTTTCTGTCTCATTCCTTTTCATTCGTATCCAGTAATGAATGCAGCGTTTATCAGGTCTGCAGGCAGAGAGGAAACACAGGAAACATGTGTGCAGAGTGAAATTACACGGAGAGGCAGAGTTACAGGGAAGCTGCGGCATCGCTGACTGACACATGACCACGTGCCACTGCAGAATGTAAAATCACATCCTATCAACTCAAAAGACTAATTTCCCCTCAGTGGGACCGTGTTTTATCATTCTCCTGTGCACCGCCTCCGAGGGACGCCTCTGAGCACTTGCTGCACTGAACAACCTTTCGCTTCTTTATTTTCTCCTCTATTCATCTCCCTTTCTTTAATCTTTTTTTTATCGCTCTTTCCTGCATTCAGATGTGCAAAAAACCATTCTCTATCTGTTTAGCCCTTTTGCACCCATCTCTTTTTTTTCCTCCTCGGTCGCCTCTCTGTTATTCATAGCAGTATAGTGGTACTGATTTGCAGGCAATGCTGCTCTTCTGCTTGAGATTTGTGTGATAGGCAGGCGGTGAAGAATCTAATTACAGCAGAAGCATTCATACTCCCGACGTGTCAGGCATGCCAACACGCAAGATACACATATTAATCCCTCTACATGTTGTCACCGTTTCTTCCTCGGGGGGGGGCGGGGGGGGGGGGGGGGGGGGGGGGGGGGGGGTGTTTGTTGACAAGAAGGCGCGCTGTGTGTGTGTGTGTGTGTGTCTGCGCTTGCTTGAGAAATCATGCATATGCTACAGTAGAACATACATGATTGTGTACGTGTGCGCGTGTGTTAGTGCGTGTTTGTTTCTGGGTTGTCTCAGCATCATTAGCTTCGATCAATTGCTATTAATGCCGGTTCCAGTGCTTTCAAGCCAGTGCAAGCGTCATCCACCTCCGCTATCCTGGCCCTGTGTCATGACAACGTCGGGCTCTCTGATTTGGTGATATCCAATTAGTCTCTCCCTCTGAGGAGAAATCGCTCCAATCTAATAAGTCCCTTAATACCAGTGGAAGCCTTAAAGCCCAGATTACAGCCTCACCTGATCTACCCACCCATCCTCTTTCTAATCCACTGTACTTCACTTTCACTGTTGTGGTTTCTCTTGTCTTTCTGGACCTTTCTCCGTTTGCTCTACACCCACTCTGAGTTGGCTCAACTACTATCACTACGTGGGCATCCCAGAGTGTGAAGGGAGAGTTTATGCTTTTCAGGAGGATGAAAAACCAAACGCTTCCCTAGTCAGGTCAAGTTTATTCTCAGTCCGTGTGATTCTCCCTCTCCCTGCAGGATTTAGAACAAATCTTGGCCCTTTTATGTTTCTCACACCTCATTAGTACAGTGCAGATGTACCTCAGTGTTATATATAAAAGTGTTTATATATTCCTCGGCTGAGCTTCAGTCTGCTCAGTCCTCAGTGATCAATTAAACTATAACTAAAGAGCAAAGCAGTTGAAATATCAGGCATTAGTTATGGGGTTAAAGTTGTAAAATGAAATGCACAGAGGGGGCTTTAAAGATCACCAGCTGAAGCAGTCATGAGGATGACAGATGATAATGGTTTTGATGTTTGTTCTCTCATTAAACTGCTGCAGCGTCAGAAATCTACCCACTGCTCCCGAAAATGATTTCAGAGAGCAGATGAATCGTCTTCCTGTCTCGTTCCCTCTGTTAGTTTTGTTGTTGTGGGACTGCCGGTGTGATTCACTCCTCGGTGCAGAGCCCCCTCCTCACCCTCGTGTTTCTGTTCAAATGTTTTGCGGCTAGAAATCGGATTTTGGCCACAGGATCTGCGGCGAGGTCTGTTTCTCTGTCTGTTGTACACCGGCACCGTTTCACATGTTTCACTCCTCTGTTTTCACTTGAATGAACAAGCTGTAAGCTGTGTGCAGCTATAACTTGTCTTGTTTCTGCCTTTAATTTTGATTATTGATTAGTTTCACTTTCACAAACCAAACCTCCTTTTTAAATGAGCAGGTACAAAATTAAACAACGAGCAATCTCAGCTTATATGTCCTTTTACTCTCATGGCGCCAAAAACACACAATTTATGAATAGTTTGACATACAGTTTCTACTTTATTCTGAATCTGATGATATGACAGAACCTACTGTAACGGTTTGTTTGTTCATATACAATAGGTGCCTGATTAATATTGTATCTATAGACTGTATATACTAAATAATGAC